GAGGTACAGAAATTGGCTATTTTAAAGGCCATGAACAGTGTAATTTTAGTACCATTGATACAAAATTTAAGGGGGTCTGAATACTTTCCGTACCCACTGTATATTGTGTTCACTTTAATTTGAGAATTTTTTGGGACATTTTAGTCATTTTTATTAGTTTTTTTAAATATGTCTATTTATTTTATGCAGTAGTTTATTTGATTATTTAGTTGTAGTTATTGTAGTACTTAATGTTGCCTTGACAGCAAGCTAGTTCACTGAAATGAAGTTTAAATAAAAAATAAAATAATAATAATAACTATTATTATTTATGTAAATAATAATAATAAACAACATTATTTAATATTATTTATATTAATATTATAGTAATATACATATACATAATATATTATTATAATATATAACTATAATTGTACTATTATTATTATTTAATAATATTTATAATTTTTTTTTACCAAAATGTGTTTCCTGTTTTTTAGTTATTGATGAACATATATTTCCCATATAATAATAATAACATTTATCCATCCATCCAATAACTTGGGAAACATGGTTAATAATATAGTAATATAATAATAATAAACTATTACATAGAAAAGACCAGGATATTTTTTAAACATTCACCTTTTGTATTAGAAGAAAGAAAGAAAGTCATGTGGGTTTGGAAAGACATGAGGGTGAGTAAATGACAGAATTATAATTTTTGTGTAAATTATTCCTTTAATCCGCACGAGACCAAAATGGAAAACCTTGAGGAAAAAAAGAGTTTTGGCTCCTATAACATACACAAAATATACACACACACACTTTGGTCTGCTTCAGAAAACACACTTGTTGTGATCGATCGAGAGCCGTCAGCCATACCTTACCCAGTCTCAGCCTAAGAATAACTTATTGATCATGTTACCAAGGGTGTGTGTGTGCATCGGTTTTGTTTAAACGGCTCTATATATGACTAAATACTACAGGAAAAGTCTCACCAATGATTCACACACAAAGAAACACACACACACACACACACGTCATCGCTCGCTGTCATGCAGAACTGCACATGTCAGGATTATACTTCATACTTTGTGTAAAGTCAAGTGTGTGTGTGTGTGTGTGTGTGTCTTTAGATGCAACTAAATGTATGTCAGATTCATAACAGCGGTTTGCAACCTCAGCAGCCGTTCATTACGTCACAGCAAAAGATGAGCGTGTGTGTGTGTGTGTGTGTGTGTGGGTCACGCTTGATAGTATGAGTGAAAGTCAAGTGCAGTGAAGCGTATCTTAATACAGATGTCTAAATCCTCTCTCAGAGCGGAAATGACAATCCATAAATCTTACAATAAACAAATACTCTCAGTATTCATGTACTCATCATATATACTGAGACTCTAATATCGATCCAAGTGTGATCTAACACCATAGACAGGCCCACAGAGACGCTTTCATGTTCACTTAATAAATATTTTTATTAATATGAATACGTAATACAATAAGTCATGAATTAAGAAATCAACTTTTACTTGAGCTTTTGATATATTGTCACGAACCCGATCTATGAACTTCCGTCTGCTTGCCATCAGAGGTCACCCTTTCCATTACATTGACTCTCGCACTACACAAACTGTTGCATATCATCCCGGACTACATATCCCATCATCCATTGTACTGATTGCACACAGCACTGATTGCACACAGCTGTATCCAATCACACATTCACTATATATCACTCAATCTGACTCCTATGAGACTGCCGAGTATTGTATGCGCTTATCGCCAGCAGTGATAGCTACTTTACAGAGCCCTCGTTAGTGTCCCAGTTCTAGCCTAGTCTTGCCCTGTCTGTTTTCTTGGTTTCTGATCTTTGCCTGTTTTCCTGCCTGTTTGCCATTGTTCGACCCTGCCTGTGTTTCTGACCTCTTCTGCTTTAAATAAAAGCTTGCACATGGATCCTCACGTCTCGTCAGCCCCGTTACAGAATACTCGGCAGTCTCATAGGAGTCAGATTGAGTGATATATAGTGAATGTGTGATTGGATACAGCTGTGTGCAATCAGTGCTGTGTGCAATCAGTACAATGGATGATGGGATATGTAGTCCGGGATGATATGCAACAGTTTGTGTAGTGCGAGAGTCAATGTAATGGAAAGGGTGACCTCTGATGGCAAGCAGACGGAAGTTCATGGACCGGATTCGTGACATATATATAAGAGATTATCGTACTAAAAGAATATCCTGTAAGTTTCAGAACTGAAAACGTCCTTGTTACTGAAATAAATGCTTTTATTTGAGACCAGGCCCAGTGAACGCCAGATCCTGGAATGTGCTTACCTATGATGTAATAGACAGGTTAAACACCGCCTAATTCTGTAGCCCCGCCCACTGATTCACGCATGACATAGTAGGGAAATAACGTAAGTTACCAGATCGAGCAACCAAGCAATAAACTTGCCGTTGAAGATCGCTAAATATTGTGCAGTGCCTGGTTGTGGAAGAACACCGTCGCTGCATAAGCTTCCTTCAGATTCAAATATTGGGAATGCGTGGTTGAACTTTATTTTTAATGACGTTTCAGCTCACGTGAGTAAAACATTGAACGTTTATTCGCTTCATTTCACCGCGGATTCCTTTGTAAACAAGACACAGGTCGATGCTGGATTTGCAGAGAGACTGAGATTAAAAAGCAATGCTGTGGCGTCTATATTGGATCCAACAGGAATGGCGCAGCACACTTATGTGAGTAAAAAATATTTGTACTATGTGTCACTATAGCTTTGTTAGAGATCGCTTGATGTGTCCTGATTATGTGTGCGTGTCTAACCAAAGTCACAGAAGGCTTCAACTATGAAGGACGTAGCTTGTCAAACAGACACACAGAAAGTTAGTTTACTATGCAAAAAAGACTTCCAAGTCTTCAATGTGGCACGCCCATAAAAACCAGCATTTCTCGAGCCGGCCTCAAAACCAGGGTAGAAAAGCCACGGGAGCGTCATAAGTGGACCACAGACAACAGTATAAAATAATATAAAAGCCAGTTCATGACTCCTTTAAATGTTCAGACTTATGATGTGTTTAAAACAAGCTATTTGTCATGCTATATTAAATTTATGGTATATATGGTTTATCACTGGCTGATTTGACATGTGATTTGTGCCCCTAATGCTTTAAAAGTACAGGACGTCCCACTGAGCCCTCTTCATGGAAAGAGCCAGTACTTTTGATTTCCACATTTTAGCATAATTAAATCCAATCCTCAGATTTTAGCCCCACATCAGCGCAGGAAACAGGAGAAGATTTGAGATTTGATCTGGGCGGCCCATAGGCATCGCTTTGTGCGCTGTGATCTCTGACATATGTTCTTGTGTGAAGCTGCAGCTCGCATTCTTTCTAGATGCATTAATGTTCACTGTTGTCTGTCTGTGATGTGGTTTCATATCTCATATGTCAGATGTAGAGGAAGCATTTCTACAGTTATTTTTGCATTTAATCCCCTCAAGCTGTGATATTAGTATAATTGAGATATTATTTTAGAGAGAGAGAGAGAGAGAGAATTAGTTTATTTTCGATTTTCATTTATTTTAGTTCGTTTTAGTAATTTTGTTGAGTTTTTCTAATTTTTATTAGTTAATTTTTTTATTGTGTCTATATAGTATTTATAAATTTTTATTTTTATTATAGTTATTTTAGTACTTCAAGTTAATGTTATATGTCGGCGCACTGCCCACGAAGCTATCAGTGCCGATGAGAGAATAGATTATTTATTTATTATAACATATTTTTTATTTAATTTACAATTTATTTATTTATTTTAATGTATTGATTTTTTTATTTCAGGCTAGAACATTGATTGGCAAAGTCTGTATGGATAGAAGCAAATACTGTGTGTCAATATTAAGACAGAATTCCATTATTAATGTAAACTATTCCTTGAACACAGTAGCCATCATGTCATGGTTGGATATGTAAGACAGGGTTATTGTTAACATGCTGTCAGTCACTGCAATTACAGCCCATACCTGTGATAGACCCCAGTGTCTCATTTATATAATTACGACAGTCAATATCTGTACAAGTAATGACTTGAGCATTATTGCAGATCATTTGTTCGCCTCCTGATAGTTTTAATAGTTATTGGTTATGATAACATGCCCTATGAAAACAAGCATCCGTTTGCCTCTATAATATTACACAACACAATCTGATTAGATGAGTTGCTCCAAATACTTTATGGATAATAACTGGCCTGGCTCAGTAGAGTCGCTTAACTCACAATGATAGCATGGGGTAGATTAGTCATCATCTAATACCAAGTAAGTGAACAAACAGTAATCATTTCTGTGTAAACATTTGGGGATAGTGGGTTGCATTTAAATTTGTAAAAAAATATATATATAATATAATATAATTTGAAAAATATTAATAATTTTATATTATAAATAAAACATAAAAAATAATAATATTAATATTTATTAAATATTAAATAAGGTTGTACAAAATTCTAAATATTTATTTTTCTCTCTATCTATCTATCTATATATATATATATATATACTTATAAATTATATATATATATTTTTTTTTTAATGTGTGTGTATATATACTGTATATGTATATTTTTAAATTTGTATCACCTTTTTATATTTTGTTTTTAATATATAATTTATAATATTAATTATATTTAAATGTGTTTTATTTTTGTATATTTTCATATAATTAAATATTAATGAAAAATAAGAATTACAATTTATATCAGGTAATACCAAATTCAGAATGTTCATACATATTTATGAATCCTGAGTTACTTTTTCAAATTTGTAACTGCAAAAGAGCTAGAATAACAAATTGTTCATTTAAAGGTGAAGTATGTAATGTTAAAAAAGACAGTCCCCAGCCCAGCCGTCTAGCATTGGTCAGTCAAACAGATAGTCCCGCCCCCAAACTCACACCATTGGCTAAGTCAGTGTTGCTGTGTTTTAATATTTAATGCTGGTTGTTTAGTTTGTGTGTTCTCACCTGGCCAGCACCTCCACGTTAGAAATGGCGTAGAAGTATTTCATCAGGTTGTCTCTCTGGACGTACGTTCCTCCGAGAGCGGGCTTGAGGAGACGGAGCCTGAGATTGGTGAACGTGAAGAAATCCCGTAAACCCTTCATGCTCTCCATCCGCGTGTACAGGCCTTCCATGTTCAGCAGCCTCGGGCCGGCAAAAATGGCGAAGCGGGAACGCACCTCGAACCGCACCACCTTCTCGTTCTTGGACCCGACCCAGCGCGAGTACTGCTCCGTGCAGATGACGCGCGTGATGTTGGCCACGGTCAGGTCGCGCGCTCTTCTCGCCAGCATGTTGAACGAGTCCACGCAGTCGTCGGCGTAGTACTGGTAGGGCTGCCACGTGCGGCCGAAATTCAGCGACTTCTCCAGCACCATGATGGTGGGCCGGCCGTATTCGAAGGTGATCTGAATGTCGTCGGTGAGTTCGAGGGTTTTGTTCCAGGACAGGCTGATGTTGGCCTGAAGAGGCTCGGGATACCGCCGCCACGTGACCGTCTGCCAGTAGGTGATGAGGCCGCTGCGCTCGCGGTCCTGCATCAGCTGCGGCGGGTGAGCCAGGTCAGGGTTAGACGCGTCACATTCATCACTGCAGAGATATGGATTCTCCTGCAGACAGACAGACAGACAGAGAGAGAGAGAGACAGAGACACCCTTGTGAAAAAGAAGTGCACTTCAGCATACATTTAAAAAGAGTACTTATGGAAATAAATCTTGTTTTCAGACACTTAATTGCAGGTTAACTTCAAATGAATGGGAATGTATTATAGTTTTAATGACATAATAAATGCAGTTAGGTGAACGTAGGAGTGCTTTTTTTGACCCAATTAAGCAGAACTGAAGTGCATCTTCATATGTAATTTCATAATTACTTCTTTAGTCTTTGAAATATGGTTAAAGTTTTCTTTTGAATGTACTGACAAGCATTTATAGAAAATTAAAATATACTGTAATTACTATAATATTGTAATTGTGACTTTTTAATCTCACAGTTTGGATGTTCACAATTTCACAATTTAATTTCACAATTTAACCTCAAAAGTTTTTCTTGGAATTCTGAGTTTATATCTTATAATTCTGTTTTTTTTCTTCTTCTTGCAATTCAGAGAAAAAAAGTCAGAATTGAGAGATATAAAGTCCAGTCCAAAATATAAACTCATGATTGTATTTAAAAAACAGCAACAAAAACCTCTGAGTTGTGGGATAAAAAGATTTTTTGAAGATTTCTCAATTGTGAGATTGTGAGAAAAAAGTTTTTACCTTTTACCTTTTTTTTTTTTTTTTTTTACATATATACATATATGCTTTTTAACATATATTTTTTTACATTTCTGTTCAATTTGATGTCATGCCTATTAATACTTGTCAAATATTTAAATATATTTGTAATTACACTTTTTAATGACGTTGCAATTTAGCACATTTAAAATATATTATAAATTATTTAAAAAATATATTACTTAAAAGTAATATTGAATAACACACTACAGTTAAAATTTTTTAAATGTACTTTAAAGTAAAACTTTTAATTTAGTATTACATTGTGCACTTAAGTGTACTAAGAAACACTTAAGTGGCCTTTTTTCATTAATTTTATACTATCTGCAAGTACAGTTTTTTATAAATGTACTTTTAAGATTTGAAGTTCAGTACAAGTGCGCATTCAATACAATTAAGCACACTTCTTTTTCACGAAGGCAGGCAGTGTTCTGGCAGGAGATGTGATGGAGATAGAAACAGTGACTGAGTGATTGACAAATAAATAGAAGCAGGTAGAAAGTGTGTGTGTGTGTGTGTGATGCACAGATACACATAGATACACAAAAGAAAGGGGAGATTGTGAGCGAGACAGATTGTAAACTCACACATGCACGCTTGTCATGGTAAAACTACTGTGAAGAACTCGTGGACTTTTATTAAAAGCAAAGACTGCAGGGAGTGTTGATCTGTGAGCGCAAACTCCTGCTACACACACATCATTAAAAATCTGGGTCAATTCTACCAGCTCGCTTTATAAAATCACGCAGAAGATGATCATCGAACTATAGTTCATGCTCAGACGTATGAAGGCTTTGAATCTGTCTATTCAGCATGTGTTGAGGATCTGTGTCGATATATCAGATTCACACCTCGACAGAGAAATAAACACTCGCCTCCTTTTGTTCTCCATCTCACAGGAGCCGCGACATACACAAATGCTGCTTAATAAAGACGTGCACACACTCACACACACGCCTCATAAGAGAAGCTTGTACAGCGCAGTGCATCTTGGGAAACACATAATCTGATTTATGAAGCCAGGCGCACGGAGAATAAAAAATAAATTAAAGGGGAGATAAAACAAAGTGCGTGTATGTAAGAGAACGACAGAGAGAGAATAAAGAGGGGCGGTGAAATGATAAAGCGGCTTCGGCTCCTGAAGCTCTGAATTGCTCAAACTCACACTTCTCGTCTGTATAACCAAGAACTACAGATGGACCGATAATCAGCTGATGTTTCTGCCATTATTCACACTTTTTGTCATCAGCTAAAAATCTGTTCTCACGTCTTTAATATTTAGCTAACGCATAATTGGTACCATTCAAAGAACAGCACACAATGACAGTATTCACAAAGTGAGTTTACAGAGCTGTTCGGATAATTGCACAAATTTGAACAACCATTCATTCTCAAGTTAGAAACATGTAGCTTAATTAGACATAGTTTATTTATGTACAACAATCTACATCACAAAATGCCACTGCACAAATATGACTTAAATATCATCATTTTTAATAATAGATATTTAGTATATAATAAAATATATTATTGTTGTTTATGCAAAGTTACACTTTTTGTTTCAGGTCAGTAAGATTTTTAAATGTATAAAATATTTTATTCAGCAAGGGCACATTAAATAAAAATAGTCAATATTAAACTGAAAGTGACAGTAAAACATTTATAATAAAAGCTAAAAAATAATTTAAATATGAAAGATAAAATATAAATAAAAAAAGACATGTAAAAGATTTCTATTTCAAATAAATGATGTTCTTTTGAAATTCACATTTATCAAAGGATCATGAAGAAAGGTAATTTCAACAAAAATATTAAGGAGCACAACTGTTTTCAACATCGATAATAATAGGAAATGTTTCTAGAGAAATCAGCATGTCTATTAGAAATTAGACATGTTCTTTTAAATTGCAATAATAAATCACAAAATTACAGTTTTTACAGTATTTTTGATCAAATAGATGCAGCTTTGATAAGCGACATCTTTCAAAAACATTTAAAGGAACCGAAACTTTGAGTGTATTTGCCAATTTATCTGGTATTAAATTTATTATTATTATTATACCATCAAATCAGACAACTCATTGACATTGCTACTAACATCCTCTTGCATATTTTTGTTTTTTTAAGGTTTGTCCAAAGAGAAGCCCAGTAACTAGTTGATCCTCGAAAGCTCATGTTGCAGCCTGGTTCGTCAACTTTCCTGTTGGACTGATAAGAACCTGTGCACTTTCACTCCTAGAAGTTGTGTAGCAGCCAATCAGATCAGTTATCAGATTTTTGTCAGCCTTTCCCATTTTGTATGCAACATAAATGAGCCTGGAGTTCACCACAACAGTCTAGCAGCTTCTACAGTTCCAGTTATGTAATGTTCAATGCTTTTAATGTTCTACTGCATATTGCATTATCCTGTTTAGTTGCTACTAAGTGTTTCAAACAAAGCTCATGCGTTTGATCCACAGACCTCATACAGTTTGGAAATTTCCTTGACTAGTTATTCCTCTGAATTCATACAGTGCGAACTGTACATCTTAATCCTTTCAGACACATTCTACAGTACACTAATTCTGTTCTGTCTGATGGTCTGACTTAGTTAGCTCCCTCCAAGACAGGGGTTTAATGTTACCCTCTTCCCCAAGATCACACTACAACTGTTCCTACAGGCCTCTGCACTGCCACTCATTTCTGCTCAACATAATTCTGTTTCCTCAAGATGCACCCCTCTCTAAATCTGTTGTTTCTTCTCTCCTCCTCTTTTCTCCGTAATGCTATTAGAGAGAAACCTCATTCTGTTACACTAATACAGCTGTCTGTTTCTTCAGTGCAGACAGACAGGATCAGACACCATCATCTGACCTGACTGCAACATCTGGACACATGCATGCACGCATGCATGCATTCAAGCACACAAACTCATTCTGACCCCCGACATGCTAAAACTATAGTTGGATTAAAGAGGAGAATGTTACACTGAAACCTTCAACCCCCAAATCCATTGAAACCCAACCCCCTGACACACTTAGTAAAGCGTTAGCATGCTTACGGTGCGCTTTGTGCATTGTGTATGTGGAGTGTGTGTGTGTGTGTGTGGGTAAGCTTTTGTTTATATTGAAGGGACCAAATGTCCCCAGAATGATAGTAAAACCTGAAATCACATGCATCCTGAAGAGCTGCCAATGGTTCCCGTGAGGAAAACCGCTTAATTAACATTCTAAATAATGAAAATGTAAAACAGATAATGTTTTCAGTGAGGGTTAGGTTTAGAAAGTGAATAAAAATAGCGTTAGCTCATATATCAGTAGTACTATTTTTTATAAAAACAATAAAAGTCAATGATAAGTTCCAACTGCAATTGTGTGCTTGCATGCATGTATACTTGCATGTATATTTCATCTATATGTGTGTGCTTTGGCGTTTGCATGCTTGTGTGGATGTATTGACAATACATGTGTATGTATGTGTATGCATATGCATATGCCTGTATTGTTGTTTTTGCATGATTGTATGTGAGTGTTTGTGTGCACGTGCATATGCATGCTTGTGTGCATGCTTTCGTGTATATTTAATCTATATGTGTGTGTTTGCATACTTGTGTGCATGTATTGTTGTGTTTGCATGCTTGAGCGTGTCTGTACATGTGTCTGTCCAGTATAGATGCATGTGCTTGCATCTGTGTTTGTGTGTACTTGGGTGCTTGTGTGCATGTATTAAGCATGCTTGCAAATGTGCATACTTATGCTTGCAAGTATATTTCTTCTATATGTGTTTGTCTGGGTGTTTGGATGCTTGTGTGCATCTATTGGCATGCATGTACCATTGTTTTTGCTTGCTTGAGTGTGTCTGTACAGTATGCATGCATGTGGTTGCATGCATGTGTATATTTCCATCTGTGTGTGTGTGTGTGCATGTTTATGTATTTTATGAGGACAAATTTGTATAATAACATGGGTATGACATAGGTATTACAAAGAGAAGGTGATTTATGAGGACATTTTCAGTGTCCCCATAATTCAAAAGGCTTATAAATCATTCAGAATGAGTTTTTTTTTGAAAATCTAAAAATGCAGAAAGTTTCCTGTAAGGGGTAGGTTTAGGGGTAGGGTTGGTGTAGGGCAATATATATATATACACAAACATACAATTTTACCATATTTGTATAATAAAAAAGCATAGCAATAATAAATAAAAGTAATGAAGAAGCAAACAGAATTGCTAACAGCGGCGCTCACCTGGTGTTTCGTACAGGTGTGTGTCATGATTAAGTGTAAATATAGCCAAAGGAAAATCCGCTACAACCACATTTCATGACAAAATCCACAAGATGGCAAAACCTA